TCGCCCTCCATCGGATTCTTGGTGAAGAATCAGGTTCTTGCTGAAGAACCACCCTGTTGATTCTGCTCCACCCTACGCTGTGTCATCTTCAGTGGGAGCAGTCTTTGGTGATCTCCTTGGGCGTGAACACCTTCATTGAGAGTTACTACTACTCTGTATCAGGTATATCCCTCTCCTACCTTTTGGTTTCAGATCTGGTCTGGTTTAGGGTTCAAGATTGATCATTGAAAATGCAGTTTTCTAAAATAGGGAATGTGATTCCCACATGGGAAAGAGAGAATTTTTTTTTAAATTTCGCCCAACCTACCTGCAGGGTTCGGCCATCCATATGATGGATCTCTCATCCCTTCAGTGCAACATTCAATGTTTGTGCATTCTTTCTAGTTGTTTGGGTGCTTGATTGCATACACATGTGTTTGACACCACAAATATAAATAAGAAAAGTATTAAGTGGTTTGGATATTATAATAAGTGTAATAATACTTGAATTCAGATCATAATATCACATAAGCATTGAATTTGCTATTTAGCTACCCAGTGCTAGTCCAAGTTATCTAGGATCCTGGGGAGTATGGACTGAATGTGGACCTAAGCTCTGGTATTTTAGCCTGAAGTGACGAGTCTTTGGCTAGAACATGCATTTCCATGCTTTTTATCTGATTGAATTTAGGATAAAGTTTAATGAATGCATTTAACATTGAATTTAGGGCAAGATTAAATTTCTAATTATAAAAAGTAATAGGTGCACCTTATATGAGATAACAGAAATACATGTTTGAGCTATACAACAATATAATATATAAGATACAATTAAATTTAAATCTTATATATATATATCAAAATTTATAAGACACAAATTAATACATTTTCTGTTTTGGAAAATTAAAAAAGATGTTTTGTCCTCCCTGATCAAAATGTTAATATATTAGAAACTTCAAAATCTTGTCAAATCAACCAAGGTAAACTAAAGGGGAATAATAATGATCATATCATCCCCATCCTATTATTTAATAAATAAACCCTCATCATACTGCTAAGTATCCTAAAAAATTTATGCAGATTTCTTTACCAAAGACTATTCTCACTATCTCCTTAATTAGTTCATTCAGTTTCAAGATGCATTTTCATGTCCTTTGATTTGACTAGAACAATATTCTTTCATGGCTTTAATACAATATAAGGTATGTGAATGGTGAAATTAGAAAACACAAACAAAGTGTAACGATTTGATCAGTGGACGGGTCCTAATAGCAATGCAGATTTCCAATAGTACCAAAATAATTTTTAAGTTCTTGAGAAAATCTAAGGAATTTATAAGAGAACCTCCCGGATACGCCAAAACGAGGATGCTTGGTTTATGTCTTGTGCAACAACACCATCAGCTATCAAACCACCTTCCATGGACCTAAGTAGGAATGCCTCAAGCTTCTCTCTAGAACAATCAATATAAACAGAAGCATTTCAGCAATCAGAATTTCTCATGAAACATCCATTCATTTTTGTGATTTATCAATTGAATGCATGTTCTAATAATAGTTCAACTAAAAAATTTATCTTTGTCAACTATAACTGCTCAAGGGAAATAACAATTAGATAAAACATTTAGATAGGTTAATTACCATCTACATAAAATTGCTCAATACAGATGCCACATGATAAGAGTACAAAACTACACTAGTGATATGAAAAATTCAAATCCATAAATGGAGTTCTATCCATGAAGTCATGTTTACTGAGAGATCAATTTATTGATAAAATGAAGAAATTTAAAAGGTTATTGGTACAGGGGCCTTGTATCATCATCATCATCATCTAAGCTTTGTCCCATTCATATGGGTCAGCTACATGAATCCTGTTTTGCTATTCCATTCTATTCAGTGCCATAACCATTGTTAACTATGGACCTAATATCTAAATAGAAACTAAACCCAACTCTTCAAAATTTCATCTTCCATATTGCTGACCTCCTTTTATTGGCTTCTCTGGGTTCACTTGGGTTTCATATCTGTTGGTGAGGGCATGAAAAGTATTTTTTGCCTGTGCTAGTATTTTCCTTCACCATTTTTCAGGGGCTGAAAATAAAGGAGAGTAAACTTGGAGTTGGAAGGCTCATAAATAGACATATAAATTGGACAGTTTTGAACTTGCACATAGTATTATAGAACTGACAAAACTAAATTAGATGCAACACAAGAGGAAATTCATAGCACATAAAAGAATAGATATAAACCTGTTGAAGGAGATCTATTGTTCTGTTCTTTGCTTTTGGCATAGGATAGAACCGAGATGAAAGAGCATTACTTACTTTACTCCATCTATTTAAAATAAGAAGGGATCCCTAAGCAACTTGGAATTTCATTCAAGATAATCAAACCAAAGATGATGTGGACCAAAGCTTTAACTACAAAGTATTTATAATATAGGATATACCAATACATAAAGCAATTTAGTTCTATGGGTTAAATGTCAAACTGGTAGAGGTCATACTTATCATATGACTCGTCAGTGCCTCGTGTCTCAATAAGAACATAAAATTCATAGATTGATGGAGGTAATGGATTGCGAACACCTTCTAAGTGAGTCAAAACCTGTTACATACAATACAAAAGATGTTTGAAAGAATAGTGAGGATGAAACAAACACTAACAGCATTCCTTTTCTTCTTTGGACCAGTAACAAGATCAGGAATTGTATCAAGATGAAAAGAAGCAATACATCATCCCCCAAACTGGGAGAGCACACTATAAGTAAAAGAAGCAACATAAATCATATCAACACATCTCGGAACTTCTAATAGTATCAAGTTCTTGAAACTATTCAAATGTTCCTCATATCTTGGAGTCTTGGTCATATATTAGTAACACAAATAATAATTTAATTGCATACAGTCACCCAAGTATGAAATCCAACTTCAATAAAATTATAAAATGGAAATAACACTTGTATGGAAAAATCATGTGAGTAAACCCTAGTAGATTCTAGGTCAATGTAGAGAAGAAGAAAGAAGAAAGAAAAGAGAAAGAAGAAGAATATTCGGCCAGACTAGAAGAGAGAATGTAAAATCACACCTCTCCTAGCCGACCCACTTGAATTTATTCAAAAAACTTAGAATTACAAGAAAGACTATTTTGTCCCTCATAGAAGATAGGACACATAACTTAAACTCTGACACAATAGACCTTTCTCTTTCAAGAAGATAAACCAGAATGACCAAAATACCCCTAACTCGAGCATTCTAACACTCCCCCTCAAGCTGGAGAGTATATATCATATAGTCCTAGCTTGTTACAAATGTAATCTATTCTTCCCCGAGACAATCCCTTTGTGAAGAGATCTGCCCACTGATTTCTTGAGCTCACATGAGATGTAGTTATTACCCCA